TGAAGTATTGAAGCATTGAAGCATTGAAGCATTGAAGTACTGAAGTATTGAAACATTGAAATATTGTAGCATTGAAGTATTGAAGCATTGAAGTATTGAAGCATTGAAGCATTGAAATATTAAAGTATTGAAGTATTGAAACATTGAAATATTGTAGCATTGAAGTATTGAAGCATTGAAGTATTGAAACATTGAAATATTGTAGCATTGAAGTATTGAAGCATTGAAGCATTGAAGCATTGAAGTATTGAAACATTGAAATATTGAAGTATTGAAGTATTGAAGCATTGAAATATTAAAGTATTGAAGTATTGAAACATTGAAGTATTGAAGTATTGAAGCACTGAAGAAAATTTAATTACTTAGTCACAACATTTTAAACACAGATCTTGTCATTGTCATTATCTATAAAGCTTTTTTTTATCAAAAGGTATTTTTGTGTTTTTCTTTAGGATCAGTTGGCTTTGGCAGCCATCTTGAATTGTTTAAACATTAACATTCTGACACAGATACATTCTATAATTTCTTCATGAAAGTTTCATTCTGGACAAATAAACCTTCATATAGTTAGACAGGGCCAACATAGTTACATTCACGGTTTAGCAGTGGATGATAATTAATACTAAACTTTACAAAAGCAGAGGTAAAAATAAGAAGAGTGCAGTTTTTGTGTGGCAGAGGGATTAAAGTGATCTGATTAGCCTCTGACTTTTGTAACTCGTCTAATTTCCTCTGCAGATCAGTCCTTCATGAAGAGTGTTTTAAGCCCCATCTTCCTGCTCAGCCTCATCACCATGTGTGTCACTCAGCTGCGACTCATCTTCTACATGGGAGCCATGAACACGATCCTAGAGTCCCTCACCGATGGAGACCTGAACACAGGTGTGTGTGAGGCCGCTAGGCTGGAGGGTCTGGTCATTTTTACATGTAATGTTCTAATAGTTATCATGAGTTAGTTCTTTACCAGCTGTGACATCAGCCGCAGGTCACAGAGGATGGAGAAAACGGTCAAATTCTTTAACGTGGCTAAGCTAATGGCTAGCTAAACGTGGCCCGGTTTTTTACAGTAGTTTTTCAGGCTAACCAAAATGTGCTTCTCAGAAACATGTTGCTTTAAAAGAACACTAAATGAGCTAAAATTACATGTTTTCACTTTTACATAATCTAAATTAATTACGTGTTTAACTCAAGGTCCGTGGTGTCAAGAAGGGCACCCCAAAGATTTTTTTTGTACTTAAGATGAAAATTGTTTTTATATCAATGCTAAATTTTACACTTATTATTAAAAAAAGCAAATTTAAAAGGTGAAAGATAATAATACTTGTCCTGCCCCTGAGCAGTTGGCTTTAAGTAACTGAGTAGTTTAGTTGGATAGCGCAGTTATAATGTCAAAGGGATCCACGATTAGTTGTAACATTAAACTTTATTTGATAAACATTTATTTTAATTGTAAAATAAATTAATTAATAAATAGTAATAAATTAATAAATTTCTACCTTCTCCTCTCTGTCAACGCTCTCTGGTTTCATTTAAAAGAGTCGATCATCAGATATTGTCCAAGATTAACCTTCAGGGTGGATATAGCTCGCTAGCAGCCTCGCACCGAGGACCTATCCACGTCATCATTTACCCAGAATGCTTTGCGTGTAAATAAAATGGCTCCGTCCGTGTTATATATTTTTAAACTTTCAGTTTAAAAATGATAAAAACTGAACATCCTGCAGTATTTTTACAGTCTTTATTTTACAGTTAAAATACTGTATGTGTTTATCATATAAAGTCTAACGTTACAACTAATCGGGGTTCCCTTTAAAATAAGCTGCTTTAAAGGCAGCATTGACCATAAACTACATCATCCATAATGCATGTTGATTAGTGCTTTTCAGTGTTTGGAAGAAGACGTGTTAAAATGCTGTTTCTGTGCAGGAAATACCAGGTAGAGCTCAGTTATTGTTTGTTAGCAGTGCTCAGTCGTAGCAATAAGTTGAAGAACATAATGTTTCGTGTTTAGTCAAAGTTAAAAGGAAACGTCAAAGTTAATTACAGCCGACCCTTAAGGGCCACCGTAACACTCATGTGGCCCTCGGTGAAAATGAGTTTTACTTTCCTGATCTAAATCATGCAAGTTTGCTTTGCTCTCAAAACTAAACGTTTCGTTTGTTTGTGTTTTCTCATTGAAACGATGCTCATATCTGTGTGTGAATCATGTGCTGATGGTGCTGAGGCAGCTGAATGTCTGCCTCATCAGCATCTAGTCTGTGCAAAAGTTACTCAACTATTGAGAGCAGAGTGTGACGAGTCTAAACCTCAGGCCTACATGTCACATGAGGGTGTACGGCACATTCTCCATTTCTTACTCAACTCCTGGTGGACTGATACGCTCAGCAGCCTCTCAGCATCATCAACATAAACATATGCTTCACACATAAATCCATGTAGGAACATGGTTTTAAGATTGATTTGGTTTTAAAGCGGTAAAAATAATGTGGAAATAAAAACTCCGGCGGCCCTCAAACAAGCCCTTTTATTTATGCTGCGCTGCTGTCATAAAGCTACTGATAACTATCAGACAAAACATCACTTTAAAAAGGACCAGACCATCCCTTTAATGCACATATGAACCAGAAGAAGTTCTAGTATTTTTACTCTATCTCCTCTTTAACGTCCCTGTCACTTTCATGCTGCTGGTGCAGTGGAGAAGATGGAAGTGGGTGAGAAACCTGTGGTCAGAATAACCATCTCCATTCATCCCCTCCTCTGTTTGTTCTCTGTAGCCATCAGCCTGAATCAGTGGTTTCCAGAGCTTTCCGCCTCTACTTGAAAATTAACGTCACACACTTGTGATCACAACTATACAAACATGGCTTAAAAGCCCTAACAACTATCAGGTTTTTAATGACCTATAGGATTCTTGTGTGTTTGAGTCTGTAACAGTTAAATATGCTGTTGGCAATCATTTTAAAGTTATTTTTTGAACTTCTCAAAACAACCTAACTTTGGGAACCACTGGTCTGGATCATGAATCTATGCACACATGATATCTAATGTGTCATTTTTAAAATCTTGATGTTACCTTCAGAGTTTAACAATAGTCTGTCTGTCTGTCTGTAGTGAGTGTGTACACCTCCATCTTTGGCGTGCTCCAGCTCCTGTGTCTGGTCACCTCTCCTGTGATTGGCTACGTTATGGACTGGAGGCTCAAAGACTGCGAGGATGAGAATGACAAGACTGTAAAAAGGTAGGAATGAGGGAAAAGAAAAGTTTAAAAACTATATTTGATTTTCCCATTGCCCTTAATGTTTTTGCTCGTTTGTGTGTGCTCTTTTGTCTGTAGCGTTAGCAAAATATCTCATAAACCATTGAGCGGATTAGAATGAAAAGCTCATAAAGTAGTTACTGGATGTACTATATCTAGGTAATCACATTTTAATGTTTGAATTGCTGCTGCGGCCATCTTGAATCTGTATCCTGCAAGGCTGCGGGCGATGTGCATTCATTCCAAGAAATTCTCAGATTTTAAATGTTTAAATTTTGACTTTTCTTCCATCAGAGAGCCCGGTCATCCCCGCCGCCCCGGCAAGAAGATCCAGAAGATTGTCAACGCCACCAGAGCATTCATCTTCACCAACCTGCTCCTGGTTGGCTTCGGCGTCACCAGCGTCATTCCCAACCTGCAGCTGCAGGTGTGTGAGCATGAAGGAGAACATTTCACGGTGTCGTGCTTTTATTTTTTGTTATGCAGCACAAGTTGGAACCATGTCAGATTTTGAGGGGGTTTCCTTGAATGTGGTGGTGTAGCTCACTGCAGATGTACAAAGTGTTCAGACAGGAGCTGCATGTTTACTGCAGCACAGCTAGTTCTCTGTCTTCTACTGACCCCTGCTGGACAAATTAAAACATTGCTATGTAAATCCTGCATTAGCGCAGCTGTTTTCCTGATTTCTAATTTCATATGTTTTTTATTTTTATTTTTTTTGGGGGGTGCAGTCTAACTACTTTAGCATACTTGTGCTGCGAGCATTCAGCTCAGATGATAGGTGCCATCACTCTTGGTTTATGTAACTTTTATACTTTACAAATATCTTCCTCTAAATTAATTTAAATCTATTGAGTTCCTTCAGAAATGTTCTCTATGAACTTTAGCATGATTTTTGTCTTTTTGTGTCCGTTCTGCTACTTCTAGCTAGTTTTTTTTTGTTACTTTTAGTTTTAGCTATGATTTTGATCATTTTTGAGTCTAATCTGCAGTTTTGTCTCATTTAGTTTTTATTCTCAGAGTCAGACAGTCAGGTTCTTTGTCACGTGACCGTGAAATGTTGAGACCAGGCATGTTGTGTCGTTCTGCCCTCTGCAGACCTCTGAGTGCTGCTCCATGTTTAAAAAATCCCCTTATTGTTTTAGTTCAGCACATTAAAACTGAATAAACTGAAGACTAAACACTCTAAAGTGTAAAATCCAAACATGTTAAATATGACAGATCTAATTAATCAGTCCTGCCCTCATCGTCTCTGCTGCCAAACTCCATTCAGCTTTCGTGTCTTTTTATTTTCCTGGAGATTTTTTTACTTCTTGTCAGATAACTTTGGCCCTCAGTCAGAAAGAAGGGCGGGGGGCGGGGGGATTATATTTTTTTGACTGATGGCGGATTACAATGTATTTTCCACAAGATTACCATGTTTCCTGCTGCCTGCAGCTGCAACAAGCTTCAAATAGGACGATCATTTTCAGAAGAGAAGTGGCGCATACTAACTGCTGTGTAGTTTAAAGTCCAGTTTTGACACAGTTTGTCTCAGAAAGCTGTCTTTATAGTGACTGAAAACCATCATGTGAATCGATAAAGACAAAGTATATTGCTGTCGTGCATCATATCCACACATTCCTAAATATCTAAATAAATATGTGTGACACACAAAATATTTTTACATTACTAGCAAAAAACCTGAACGGCATTATTTTACCATGGAGGTTGAAATCGTGTCACAGATGACAGGACGCCTGTGTCAAGAATGCTATCCTTTGTTTTTAACCACCCTTGGTACTAGAAATGTTTAGCTACCATTTAATCACCTTTAGCTTGTGTCTAGCCTCTATTAGTTAGCATTCTAAATCTCTTTGAACAAAGAGGAAAGGCAGCTCTCAGGACATTTGAAGTGGCTCTTCCAGGGAAAACCAACATGTTTTCTGATTTTCTCTCCAGATCCTGTCCTTCGTCCTGCACACTATCGTCAGAGGCTTCATTCACTCTGCTGTGGGAGGCCTGTATGCTGCTGTGTAAGTGCACACAAATCTAAAGGTGTTAGTGTAACAACACACAGACAAATGCTCTCTGAGGTTTGTGTGTGTTGTTGACCATTTTTATTCAAAACAAGAAAGTTCAGCTGCGTCAGCTCTCACTGCTTTGGAAAGACTATCAACTAATTGGTTGCCACAGCTTAAAGCAACTTTAGTAAACAAAAATTACAGATACTGATGTAAGAAAATATTAGTGTTCATTAACTGAAGTCGAGACAAAAACGAATTTATGTTAAATAAATTGAAGTGTGAAGAGATTAGGCCATAAAACCCCAGATCTAGTTGAGCGAAGCTTTATTGCTCACGGCAGGAGAACCAAAGCAACGGCTACAACCTGGACTTTCGGTCCTTATATACAGTGTCAGAGTATTTACAGAGTCTTCAGTGCCTGGTGCGCCCCCTGCAGGCCTACGGGTGCATCACAGGCCACTCGAACGAACAATGCCTTCCCTAATGAATTAATAACGGTTTTTCGATGTGTTGATGATGTCTCGGGCATGTACCTAAACTATTTTAATCAGCCGTTAACAATAGTTAAACAATGGCTTATAAAAGTTAATACTTAAACGAAAAACTAAGAAAACGATGTAGTGCTTTTAGCATCAGTATCTAACCTAATAAATTTCTTCACTGAGGTAAATTTCAGTCTGTTAGTAACACAAGGTCTGTTTTTAAACTGAACTTAGGAAACACAAAAATGTGTATAAGTCAGTTTAGTTTTACAGATATGAAGCTAAAATTTGGTGTGGTGGTAGCTGAGTCATTCCTGTGATACTCCCTGAGTGCTGATCCAGCTTGTAAGAGCTCACATTATTGCATGAGACTGTGCCAAACATCATTTATAAAGTTTGACCAAACGGCTGCAACTCCATCTCTTCCAATAACAGATGATTTTATTTAAATTGAATTTTTAAAATATTAGGGGAACATTTTTTAAATCATTTAAAGTTGTCTGGACAGAGTGTTTATTCAAGTCTTCCTAAGTTTTCCCTCACAGTCAGATCGTCTTTAAACTAATGTTTTGAAGCCATTTAGTTTGTCAAACCCGAGGGATGAACCAGTGTTGTGTTTAAACAGAGACTGTGACACATTGTTTGTCTTCTCCAGGTACCCGTCCTCTCAGTTTGGCAGTCTGACAGGGATGCAGTCTCTGATCAGTGCTCTGTTCGCCCTGCTCCAGCAGCCCCTCTTCTTGGCCATGGTGGGCCCCCTGGAGGGAGACCCTCTATGGGTAAGATGACACAAACACCTGGACATGAGCAGAACTGATGTCAGTGTAGTCACTGTGCAGGGATTAAAGGAGCAGCGTGGTTGGCAGATGCTTTTGTGTAAATGTTTGAAACTTTTTTCCACTTCAGCATCTTTTAGATGCGGAGTACCGCAGGGTTCAACTTTAGGGCCCCTTTTATTTTCATTGTTCCTGCTTCTACTAGGGTCTAATATAAGGAAGCTTGGTCTTTCTTTTCATTGTTACGCTGATGGTTGCCAGATATTTATGCTCCTGAAAGGTAGTAATGCCTGGATGACATCAAATTGTTTAAATGACACTAAAACGGAAGTGATTTTGTTCAGCCTTACTTCTATGTCAGGATCTCTCCCTGTGAGCCGTACCTTAAACAATCTGTTTCCAACCTGGGGATGATTCTGGACTCTGACTTTAAGTTTGATAAGCAGATCAACTCTGTCGTAAAGAAGAGTTTCTTCCAGTTAAGGCAGAAAGCTGAACTTGAGCCTGTTTTAACCAGACCTGACCTTGAGAAAGTAGTTTAAGCCTTCATTACAACCAGACTTTATTGTATTGCACTTTATGTTGGGGTTAGTCAGGCCTCCCTTTCACGTTTGCAGCTTGTTCAAAATGCTGCAGCTTTTAACAGGAACTAGTAGGTCTGAACACATTTAGTCCTCCCTCCACTGCCTCCGAATGTTTATAGAATAGATCTGAAAATTATTTTGATGACTCATAAATGCTTTCATGGACTTGCACCATTGTATTTCTTAGACCAGGGCTATTCATCTGGTGGTCTGCGGGCCACATCTGGCCCGTGAGTGACCAAAATGCGGCCCGCCAATTGGTTCATTCATCTCTTCAGCCCAAACCCTCGGTTCTGTATGTTGTATTCATGATTAAATACAGCAAAATAAACTATTTCAAAGGTAACAGATCTTTGTAATACTTGGATTATTTACATGACTTTAAGTGTTGGATGTTCGGCCCCTCAGCTGTTGACGTGCAGTAAATGTGGCCCCCGGAGCAGTTTAAATGAATAGCCCTGCCTTAGACCTACTTCTTTTTTTAAAATCACTTCAGTAGAAAAAAGAACTTATTAGTTTCTTAATTTCTTCATAATCAGTGATTTTTTTAAGTAAAGAGAAAATAGAGAAAGAGGGAAAAACAAAGAGAGAAGTAATTAGAAAGGTTGAAATAGAGATTAGAAGTATATTAAATAAACAAGAAAACACAGGACCACACACCCAACATCTGTCCGCTCACCTGAAAAATAAATGAATAAATACATGGAGGGCATATATAAATATATACAACTACTTCAATATATAGACCTACTTCAACTTTGTGTTCCTTACGGGGCACTGAGATCAGCTGCTTTTGGTTGCACCAAAAACCAGGCTGAAGCTCAGAGAAGATGGGGCTTTTTCAGCAGTGGCACCTAAACTTTGGGACAACATGCCCTCAGACATTCGACAGACATCTTTGCTTCCACTTTTTAAATACACATCTATTTTCACTGACTTTTAATACAGCTTGAATTGTTTCTCTGATACTTTTACTCTTCATTTTATGCTGTGATGGTTGGTGTACCTTGTGAAGCGCCTTGGTCAAGTGTTGTTGTTTTAAATGTGCCACACAAGTAAAACTGCCATCATCACCTGTCTTCATGTCTGCCTGGCTCTCAGGTGAACGTGGGCCTGCTGGTGCTGAGCATGCTGGGATTCTGTCTGCCCGTATACCTGCTGTGCCACAGCCGCCACCTGCAGCGCCTCCGAGACGAGCAAGACGACGACCCCAAGGTCTTTGTGAAGCTCACCAACGGCGTCCCGCCCGAAGCCAGCGTCTAGAGCGAGGCTGAAGAGTGACGCTTCCGAAACGGAGCCTGCGTGACCCGAGCTAGAGGTCTGACAAATCACTTTACACTCTGACAGAAAAGACAACCAACGAGCACTGTGACTCCTGGGTTCATCCTCACTGACTGCTGTGAAAACTCTGGCACATGTCAATCACACGGGCTTCAGAAACTGAGGAGGAAAAACAGGGAGAGGAAAGCTACAGTGGAGGTTCTCTGCATCCCTAAACGACGGCTCTGTTTTACTCCTGCTGTTTTCCCTCAACATCCCTGAACAGGAAGGTGCCAGCTGATGGAAACAACAATATGAAGGCTGCTGTCTGCCGACTGAAAAGCTCTGATAGCTGCAGCAAGTGTTGCCCTCACTGCAGCTTCTGTGTATATGTGTGTGTGTATGATGTTGTTTGTGTTAGACATACACTGCTGCTCTGTTCCTGCTTCACTCACAACCGCTGAACGTCTCTGCTGTCTTCTGTCCTTTGCTCTGAAATTCCAAACCCTTTTATCCCTCGCCTCATGGTCTCAGACGTGTTGATTAGACGTCACCATGTGAAGGAATGTTTTTAGACAAAAATATAGTGTTACAAATTTAGAGCGGTGTGAAACTAGACGTGTTATTTTAGCAATAAATGCCTTGTGTGAGGTGCTGGGCACTGAACACTCACACAAACACATGTTGGAACTGACGGAGGTGGAATCCACGGAGGTGCTAGTTGCAAAACAGAAATTAGTGTTTTCACATTTTGCTTTGGGGTTGCACAGTCGAGAACCTGCCAACAAGTCAAATCTCCGACAAGAATGTCCCTTTTCCTGAAAGTGAATCCCAAAGAATCGTTTTATGTTCTATTTTCTTGTTGTTTCTTTACTTTTCGTGGTGACTCTTCATTGAAACAGGAAGTTCAACCACTGCAGTGGTTTGAGGAAACCTCAGTGTCCTTTGTGCAGAAACACATTGAGACAAAGCACAAACAAGAAAGAGTAGAAGAAACGGTGAGGTTGAGTGATCCTCCTCCCTCTCTGCATCAGGCGCTCAGGCTGCAGTGAGTCCAGCCCAGTTCCTCTTTTCTTCTGTCCATAAACACAACTCAGAGTGTTTACTGAACTGAAAGACGAGCCTCTGCTTACTTTACCTGCTGTCAGCAAATTCCTTTTAGTGAGAAATGAACGGCACATGCTGCACTTTAAACCAGTGAAATGAACCTCAGTCATTTAAATTCCTTCTGTTCAACTCTAACCTGTTGGTGTTTGAGGAAAATAGGGTTGAAACTAGGGATGCATGATCTATCTCTGTATTGGTTTGATAAATAAAACTGGGCCGATACTAACGTCTGATATTGATTTCCCACTTTTTATCTTTGTGTTTCTGTTTTGGGAGGGGAGATGGTTGGTGAAGGCGTATCTGTATGGATAATGTTGGTGACGCTGCACAGCCAGGAATAACTGAAGCAGAGCCATGTCAGAGGTCTGGTTGTTTTTTTTAGTTATCAAAAACAAGACACAAGTGTATTTGAGCGTATATGTATATATTAGGGGCGCAACAATCCATGTATCTATTGAACCATTCAATATACGTGCTTTAGGTTCACACTATGTATGGAACAATGAAGATTTTTTAAATTTATTTTTGTTGAAGGATCAGTGGATCTGTGTTCGACTACTCCACCTAGGCTGCATTGTTGAGTGCAGATCCAACGAGAAACTTGCTTTTTCAGCAACATTTAATTTAAAAACTACTTGTGAAGTTAAACAAATGTTCATAATTCATTTCAATAAATTACAAGTTAAGAAAGACGTGGAAAATTCTCTTTTTGTATCGAAAAAATATCAAACCATGAGACTAAAGTATCGAACTGAATCATGAATTTTCTGTATCTTTGCACCCCTAATATATATAAATAATTTGTGTAATATCGGTAAATATCAGTTATCGTCCATAACAGCAATCTTAATATCAGAAATCAATATCGACTGAAATTTTCATATCGGTGCATCCCTAGTTGAAATCTATGACACACCCTGACATGTACCTGGTACTTAGAGCATACTTAACTGGTACTAGTGCCTACCTGGTGTTTACATGGTACAGACCTAGTACCAGGTATTTCCCTGGTCTGTACCCAGTACTTTCAAGTAATCTTACCAAATATAGAGCCAGAGCTTCAGATGTAGAATTGTAGACATATAAATGGAGAAATATAATTTTATATAAAATGTTCGTCACGTTTGTTCAGTGATGATGCAGCAGTGTCTTGTCTCCCAGTTCAAGAACCTTCTGAACACAAAGGTCAGAATATATTCACATTCAGAAGCAAAACCGTTTTAATCAAGTACAACAAAAAAATTAATTGAGTATTTTTTTTTTTGTACAAAGCACAAGTTTTTGGTGAAACGTGTCAAAGTTCTGAGCAGTGTTTGTTATTTTTATGAGAAACATGCACAGTCAGCTGTCAGAACTTTCATATTAAAATGTAAGTGCTCTTCACTCATTTTCTTTTATAAATGTCCAGTTTAAGTTCTTTGTTCATGCATTTCCTGTTAAAAGTCATTGAGGCACCAGTTATATTTCACAGAGCGGTATTATACTGTGAAATATTAAAT